AGTTACATACTGGTAGAGTGAATTACAGAGAAAATTGTCCTAAGAGAATTCCGACTATCCCGAGCACTATATATATACCTCGACGGTATAGCTATATACAAATAATACAGTCGGAAGAATTCCTGCAATTTCCTCCCACCGTTAATGCAGAAGCAACACTCGGTTCTTCGTCTCCCTTCGTCAGCACTCTAAATGGAAATGCATCAACTTTTCCTTCCTTGTCCTCCCTCCCGTCCGCCCATTATCGTTCACTCCCTTTTTCATCCACTAGCCCGGGAAGCCTTTCGTCCTCGATAGAGGTCGCTTCGAGGTGACCCATTTCCTTTGCCATGGTTCACGCCAATTTCTTTTTCTTTTTTCTTTGGTTCTCCTCTTCGTTCCCTCTTTTCACTCTTAACCGCGTAGAAGCCCCGGCTGGTTCAAGTTCCCGTCAAACTATCGGAAGTGTTTTAACGACGTTGGAGACCTCGGCAAGCAAGGGTGAGATTGAAAAACAAAAAGAGTTACCAACTCGTGCGATGCAAGTCTCTCGCATAGGTGGATCAATCTGCACGTGCACCTAGGTTGGATACACGTTGGTGCATACATGACGATAGTGCAGAAAAGAGTTGCCACTACTCTGGCACTGCAGCTTGAGAGCTCCGTACTCCAAACGCGCGCTCATCCTCTCGGCCTATTTTTGCTAAAATCTGCACCCGAGCGCTGCTTTTGCATGAAAGGCGTGTGCAAAGGTGGAGAGAGAGAGAGAGAGAGAGAGGGAGGGTCTTTTGTTGAGAAGTACACCCCCTCACACATTCCCCCTCTGTTCACCGTCACAGCCCTCTGGCAATGTTCTTCCAGCTTCCAGCTATTCAACCTACTCATACACTCTCTCTCTCTCTCTCTCTCTCTCTCGCTCCCTCACTTCCGTTCTTATGACACCAGTCGGTTCCCTCATCCAAATCCACTCATGATTTTTCAACGAAATGTACTTCCCGTTTCAAGAAAACTCCCTCCGACTCTCCTGCATCTCTGCTCAGGTACAGTTTGGCTTTGTGCGCGTCTCTACTGTAAATAATGTGTGCCGCGTGTGTCACTGGGACTCCGGCGCGCGTTCCCCGGATGAATAAAAACAAAACTAATGACACGCTTAGGTATCCAGGACGGTATAACGTGGAGGCCCTGCAGGGAGTCCTGGATAAGCAGTGACAATCGTGATGAAGATACGTTCGGATTGCGTCGTAATGTTTCACCTCGTTTTTATATCCCATCGTCCGTGAAGGAGAAATCCAAGCGAACTCGTATTTAACCTCTGGAACGCTCGGGCGCCTGTACTGTAGGCAGGTTATTAGACTTTCGTTACTTATGGCCAAACGAACGACGTATCGCTCAAAGGTTAAGGCTCGCTCGCGTCTGAGACGCATCGGCAAATATTCGTCCGTGCGCACATGAGGAAACGAGGGGTCGTAAATGCATATCTTTTTATTATTATTCGTCTTTTCATGCGTCATGGCAAACAGCGCGAAACTCAAGGTCGACTCTTAACTTCGTATTTTCATGCATTCCAGCGTATATAACGCGTACACTCACTGTATATACAATACATATATAGGACGTGTGCTCTTCGCCTAAAGTCGAGTGAAAAACATTGAGATTTTTCAAGATGGAGCTAAAAACATGTTTTGTTCTTCGCGTATTCGTACGAAACGACTATTGCGTCTTTGGGAAGGCACGGGAGTTTCTGCTAATCGGCTGATTTCTTATCACGCGTTTATCACGTCAGTCTCGGATCGCGTTAAGGAAGATTCGATAGAGATCGCAAGATGCTTATATTTACAGACCAATCGTTAACAGGTACGGTGCTATTAGGAGTTACCTCACGTTTTCAAACTCTGTAGCTCTACCTGATATACATGTACATGTGTATACGTCTTCAGTCTCGAGAGGGAAAGCGAACCCATTATCGTCCTGCGGAGTTCAACGTACTTGCAAACGCGCCCATTGCTGTTCTACAGTCTTGAAGCCTGGTTGCGTCATATTCGAGAATCGAAGGGAATCGATTTCCATTGGGTATCGATAACGTCAAGGAGGTCCTTTAAACTAAATACCAGCTACGGCTTCAACGTGCTAGAAACTTTGGCGTCCTTCACGACCTTACGAGTACCGCTGGTAAAGATTTGTGATTTTAACGACAGACGGGAACAATGAAAAACGAAAGGATCGTTCGTTATATATCTATATATATTGCCGAGAGGTTCACGCAAAGCGCAGATATATCTTGGCTGGAAATTCCCGCGTGTCTTTCTGCCGAACGGAATAGGCTTAGGAAGTTTGGTAGCTGCGCTAGTGTCCAAGGGTCGTACGTAGTCGGACGTTGGTCGGTAGTAGGAAGAACCTGGTAGACGTCAGCCAAGTCTGTGTTACTAGGGTTTCGGTCTGGTGTGTATGTAGATACCGAACGTGCGGAGAAGGACTGTGCGGGTTGGACAAGGATGCGGAGAAAGTTGACGCGTGGGTATATCCTGGGAATCCTAAAGTCTTACTTACATAGGTACGTGGGATCGCACGATGCCTTTGTGGATATGAATGATTTATTGTTATACTACTTGGGCATTGGCCGGTGCTGTTCTGTAGATATGGGCCTATGTAAATATGAAGTTTTCGATTAATCGATAAATGTAATGTGTCTAGATAGCCGTGGGACGAGCTTTACAAAATGTTCTCCTCATTTTCACGTACCTCCGTCAGGGCCGTCGTAACGTTGGGTATTTGTATCTGGGGCACATAGGCTCACTTATCTGGAGCGAAACCCGGTCCCCTGTCAATGCTGTATCGTTATGGAGGAACAATACGAATTTCACGACGATAACAACAAAGGACACGGAAAGTGTCCTATGGGTTAATTGCACCGTGGAGGATTGCGAAAGGCTTTGAGAAGTGTCTCCGGGCTTCGAGTTCCCGCCAAGAATATTTCACAAGCTGGGGAGAACGGCAGTGGCGTCAGCTTCGTGGTGTTGCTGGAGGGGCGGCCGAGCTGTTCGACGGCGGGGAAACGCGATAGGGACGGTAGGAGAAGCTTGAGGCAGGTCGCGCGCAATTGTGAAACCAACATGGCCGCCAGGTGCGTTACCATGACAACGGCCAATAGGTGGGGCTAGCGTTGCTCGGGAGGCGGGGCTCATTTATACGGCGGCCATCATGATCACGCTCTCTGTGAGATGTCGCCATCTGACGAGAGCGACACTAACCTCTCGCTGTAAAGCTTTCCCGTGCCGGGAAGAGGGTGTCGCCAGGATATGCCTTTGGGCTTTAGAAAGAATCGTTATCATCGAACGAGCTTACAGCTATTCCCATAGTAGCGCCTCTGTCACTCTTTAAATTCCTTTATAACGTACTTACCAACCTCTAGGTAAATCTGTACTTTTCTCTTATTATTCTTAATTTTTCATGCATCAGTCACTCGTTAACATTTAATTTTCTTCGTGGCTCAATTAAAATTCGTCTTGTAATTATCACGCGTTATCAATACTTCTCGCAGACTCGTATAACAATTTTAATACCCTGTACAAATTTATTGCTATTATATATTGTGCATTGGTTACTTATCAGCCCGTACATACACGTGCAAACTACACTTTACGATCAAGTCTCAAGCAACGCGATACACATAGATATTCGGTACCCAGTCACTGTAACACATATTGTCACTGGCCAACGAGCCACGCACCTTGAAATATGTATAAACTGTCGTTATTGCAAACATACCATATCCCACCAGAGTCACGTAGAACCTACCCAGTCCATCCCAACCAACCACTCGGCTGTTATCGCCGTACTAAAAATACTAATAAACAAAGAGAAACCTCCATAAGGAAACTATCCGTCCTTAATACCATCCCGGGGAATCTTTCTCCATCCGAATTCCTTTTCAACCTGAAATAAGAAATCTACCAGATAGACGCAGGGAATCCCGCGATCAATCCTTTGGATTATCACGTTCCTACCTAACCCAACCTAAATCCACCGACATTCACCATCCAGTTATACCTACCCGCCATCGTACCTATATCTACCAACCCCTGAGAGGACTTTACGATCCTGACTCACAAGGATCGCTGCTGGTTTCTCCAGCCTCCGGGGAATCTCATTCAGAGTACCTACCTACCTAACCTACCTATCTAACCCACTATCTAACCTACCTAGAGCAACTCGATCTTCGATCGGACCACCTAAGATATAGGATACCCCAAGAACCTAGATACCCAGAAGCAGTCGAGAGGGCCAAATCGCCGCGTTAAAGAGTTTTTACCAGTAGACAAGGCCTGCGAATAAAGATCCTAGCTTCACCTGACAACCCATAAGCATACCGATACACCAGCTAGTAGAGTGTAGTCTTATAACTACACTCGGATAGGGGGAACAGGGGGTATATGCCTACTCGATGAATAATGCATCGCGATCACAATTATACGCTTCATACTTATTCATAGGAACGCGGCATAGACACCCGCACACAGGTGCGTCCGAGTAACGTGGAAGCGATGAAGACGTGGATATAAAACAAAAAGACGTATAAAAAGTAGAATCCTAAGGTAGACACCGTATATAGATATCTTATTGCTTTGTTTATACCCGTACACGTTTCGTCATGTGGCTCCAATGTCTCTACGCACACTTAACGTAGGTGCAATGGCCGATTCGCGAATAAGAGTCTACCTACGCGTACGAATATTGCGTAGGCGTCTTACACGTAACGTCGCACAGACACATCTGCCCCGCGGCCTCTTTACTATATTCCTATGGCGCGTTACCGCCTATGAATTATTTATTGGACATCATTATAAATCGCGAGTAACATCTACGACGCGATATACGGTCCTACGATACTTTTCGCATTTACCTATTGGGCTCCAGTTGCAATGAAAAATTATTTTGTTCGATTCCCAAAGGACTTTTGTCGCGATTTCGCCTGATAATAACAATGCCAACGCGCTGGATACATCTATCGATTATGTTGACAGGTGCTCGTAGAATACGACGACGTTGAGTGGCAGAGAAGAGAGTGGCTGTCGCCCCACAGGGATGCTGTGTTCTCCCTGTTTCTCGTCGAGAAAGGCCTATACTGGGCCGAAAGACCTGACCCCAGACACACGAGCCTTATCACTATAAACCACCACAACCATCACGGCAACCACGCCAACAACAACCATCATCAGCACCATAGACTCAACGGGAAGCCACTTAGAGGCGCCACGGCAGCAGCGAATACGGTCGGTTGGCCGGCACTGGTGAGTATTTTGGAATTTCATTTTTTTTTTTTTTTTTTTTTTTTTTTTTTTTTTTTTTTTTTTTTTTTTCCTTATCGTCTTATCATTCGTTAACGCGAACAATTCCCTTTTCACGTGACGCACGGCCTAGATGTTTTATATAATCGTGGGATCGGTACAGTGTATATGGGGTATATATGATATTGTCTATCGCGTTGCTCACGTATATTTTATACGTAGTCACGTACAGGTACAGTGCCCTTAAAAAATCGTCACTGATCGATTCAGGACAGGAGCCGTGTGTCAGGGTTAATTTGCCGCGTGTAAAAAAATGTTTTGAAAATATCGTCGCTTTCCGTCACGTCGATTGGTCCTTGCTGTCGTCATTCGATGCATGTGATTTTGACGTGACGTACGAGTTCACGGTATGACGTTTCGGTGACTTTAGAAATCGATTTTTTAATCGATTATTGAATTTTGGTTCGCAACGGGTATCTAGCCGTATCATGGTTAACGCTGTATTGAAGATTATACACGTGTGTTAGGTAATGCAGTGCCAGTAGTAGACCAGGTTGTATATCTGGAAATTCAATGTTTTTACATAGCCGTTACGTCAGCCCGATATATAGAGACCCTGTGTCATTGTAATCTAGATCTCGGCCATTATCCACGTTAATTGCGATAACACCGATAGGTTAGTTAATGTTCCGCCAGGCCCCTCTAGGCTATCCAGGAACATCTTCCGCTCCTGCACGATTGCAAGTACCGTTACCAGATCGTACCACTGTGGGTAGGCACTATATCACACTGTACGTACCCCAGGTACTGGTTACATACGATAACGTGGGTGAACGTAGGAGTCTAGTGGTCGTACTAGAAAGTCTTACTGCGCGAAACTTATTTATTTTGTTATTGATTTTATTATTTTTTGTACGTATCTATATTGCCACCGGTGTTACTACTTTTGGTATTTTTTTTCTTCGTATACCTATACGCTTCCGCATGGTTGACTCTGACAATGAGAGGTAATGGACAAAAAAAAAGGCAGATCGATCGGTCGATCCTATCCTGGATCAATTATTATTCCAGTCCGGTCGTATGTACGGAGCTTTAAACGCTCCGGCAGGGCGGCAGCAGGAAGAGGTGCAGTTTGCATGCAAAGCGAATTGCAATCTCCTGCAGCGACGCGGAGGAGCGAGACGTGCATTTTATTTGAGGCAGCTGGAAACCTGATTCGATCGGCAGCTCGGTCGGATTTGAGTTTCAATTATAATTAGGGAACTTTTAATTACACCTCGTGAATGTCCTACGGGCGCAGGAAAATTTCACCGAGGGATTCTCTCGTGTTATCTCATTTTCTCATCTTTCCCTTTATTCACCTTTCTTCCTTCCGTTATTACGTACGTATACGGTGGCAGGATCGCTGTCAGCACATTTATCGTACGCGTCGCTATCATTCATTCGCTTTGACATTTATGCTTTCAGACCTTCTATCCGCTGGTAGCCAGGGCTGAACTTCCCGAGGACATGATGCCCGTGGAATTCATGCAGGATCGCAGACTGGACTTCCTCGACTATGCCAAGCTCAAACCCTTCACTGTGAGCAGACCTTTATTATTCTATTGTATTCTATTCTTTTCCATTGTGTGCTCGAGTGTATATCTTTTCGCTATCTCTTCTTTTTGTTTTTTCTCGCTGTACGTTACCCCATTGCTGGGAGCTCGAACGCGAAACGTGACGTGCGTTAACGAACGATTAAAGCAGCAGCCACTTCGTAACTGCTCTCGTACAACACTTCCGCTTTACGAGCCCCGAAACTTAGTTCGTTACAAAGTTCATTACAAGTTGCACTTCGATGCGATTGCCTCGGTCGGCTGGCTCGGCCCTGCAGCAATCCAAAGAAATATCTTCTGGTAATCCTTACGGCGCACGGCTCTCGGAATAAGTTTAAGATCCGGCCCCGGAGTGAATAGGCATTACAGAATCGACAACGACGCTTGGCTAATTCGCCCTGATTACGTCGTTACAAGTCTATATCAACTGGAACGAGATAAAGGATCGCGTCTGTACAAATTTGACCTTAAGACTCGTAAAATTTATTTTTAACTGATTTTCGTGTGAGCTTCTTTTTTTTTGTTCTTTGCTTCTCTGGATTTACAGAGGAATCTTCTCTCTTGCTTTTTTTTTCCCTCTGGAAAAATATGAAAGCGGAACCTTAATATACACAGTGGCGTATTTACGTGGAAAATTAATTCCCCCCTGGCGGCTATCTGCCGTACTAAATTAAAGCTTTCTCTCGCGATAACTCACCGAGAACATTTTTTAGATCCTCTTTCCGGGGATGACGTACGTGCAGTCCTGCGATTCCTGGTAAAAATATTTCTGAGCCAAAGCTTTCTCGACGAGACTCGCGCACTTCGTTTTTGGATTCGTAATAAATTGAAACTTTTTTGCCGAAAGTCAAGGAACCGCCTATGTCGAAGGAACGACGCAAGTCGTCAAAGGGTGGACTCTCTCCGATCGTCCCTCGGTCTCCTGAAATACACCAAGGGGGTTAGGTATAAACGTCAACGAGGGTTGTACGGGAAAACTCCTTCGGCGTTGCTGACGGTGAGAGCGGGAGACGGTCGGGGAATTGTTTCCAAGTAATTAAACTGAGGGAAGTTTTACCGTTAAAAGTTGGCGCAGCTCCTTGCGCAAACGTTAGTCATTTACGTGGAAAAGTTTTGGAGCTTGCGGTCATGGCCGACTCGCGCTTTTTTTCCCTTGGCATTACTCTCGGCGTCTTGTCGGGGCGGTTGAAAAACGAGAAAAATTTTTGACGAGAATTAACCTGCAAGAAGATTGAACGATTGAGAAATTATTTTCCTTGGTATATACAGTTTATATACGTAGCCCCGATTTATATGTAATTATGTATATACAGGGTACAGCTAAAAATGTATGTACAAGAGAGATGAAAACTCGGAAATAATTCATACGCTCGTAAAATCAGCCTCCCGGAGTCTCCTGACCCTGAACTATAAATGCACCAGCGGGGCTCTTTCTCCGTAACTCGTACGTACGTGCCGCATAGTTAAGCCGCACGTTCAAATGGCTACAGGCACGTATAGTATAGGCTTACGCGCACGCGGCGTGGGGCATACGTGGACACGGGCCATTACGCTGCTGGCCAAAGCAGCGAATATCACAGTATAATGGCCGCTGTTCAAAGTGTATATACGAGGAGAAACGCACACGGCGTCGGGATACCGCGATTTTTCACTTGACTCTAACGGCAGCTGACTACTCGTAGCACTGCTTTAGCTCGCGTGACCGTTTCAGCGACAGTCGCCGGTTGCGCGTGCATCGACGTTTGGAAAGGCGCCAAGACCAGGCGCCAACATACTCTCGCCGTGCTAACTTCACTGCCAGAGTTTCCACGGGTCAAGCCAGTCAGTTTAGAATGTACGTTCTGACGAAATTTTAGACTACGCTTACATGGAAACGCTATGGATTTTTATCTAAAGCGAGAGATTGATTCAAGAGATATAGCTGTGTAAATTATTAAATTATATATTTTACATTTAATCGTTCACTATTTCGTATTACTCACCATAATCTATAGTCCGTTTAAGATTAGCATTGCACGATGCGTCGGGTACACGAGCGGAGCTTTAACTATACACAAATCACTTTTATTATACTTTCGACTAAGTAGCAAGCAGTTAATCGCGTTTACAATGCAATAACCGTCTTTCCAATCTTACGTTATCTTATTGGCAGAGGGAACGTATTCTGTTTATCGGGACTCACAATACCGTAGAAAGTGCAGGTCGTGCCAATTGAGGATACGAGAGCTTAACTGCCACGTCATTTCCTCAATTAAATTCAATGAAATTACTTGGCTCGCGTAATATCGCCTATTCACTGCGATTCTAACGGTAAAGTCGGGCGGGGACGAAATCGACGACTACGACGAACGAGGTCGCCGTAGCGCGCTTTACCTTTTACCGACCGAGCATGGAACAATCGAATTCAACCTAACCCTAACCTCACTTCACCGCGCTCGTCTTCTCTTTCATTATCGTTCACGCTATACGATCCTCTTCTCTTTCACTTTACACAGTGCATTGTTCGCCTATGACAATTCACTCAAATTACCTTGGCATATCTTATTAATTAAATTGTCGTCTCTTTCGACGTCGTATTGAATGTCATCGCTATTCAGTCACTCCGTGAACCCGGAGCTTTGACTTACACTTAATTTACGATTAACCAGTCACTTATTTCAGCCGCGGACACTGACTACGCGTAGGTTACGATTACTTTGCTGGTAAACGTTTATAATTGCTATGACGTAGCTGTAATTAAACCAAGTCGTCGAGCACAGCATGTAACGGACATCCAGACCACGTAGCGATTCTAAATTGACTGGCGTAGTACTGCTTGGCCTACTGTGGTGGCGCAAGTGCGTAGGACTCACCGTTAAGATATATGAAGACATCTGATCAGTTGATATTTTAAAATTGGCAGATGATTTAATACTGAATTATATGGTGTTTCCTATGGCAAGTCTCGATAAAAAGGAAAATGGTAATGAAGCGGCATTCTGCTGGTGGAAGTAATTAATTAAGGAGAGGACTGATTTATTGCAAACTCGCCTTTTTATATCCTTTATGTGGGATGGGAAGAGGGTATTCTTGCGAAGAAAGATTTTACAGAGGTCAAGGAGGTTAGGAACTTTTTTTTAATTAGAAAAGAAGTTGGATCGAATGCTACGATCCTTTTTTTCTTTTACAATTTTCACATTTTTTTTTTTTTTTGCTTGTTACTTGTTGTTTACGCTTGCACCCTGTTTCCTTGTAGCTTCTTTGCATACTAACGAGGGTGATTACCTTTTGTTTTCACAGCAGGACTGGGAACTGACGAAGGGCGGCGTACCTTGGGGTAATGCTGTGAGGAGATGGGCCGAGATGCAGGATGGTCAGAGGATTCTCCTTACCACCCCTAGTGTCCTCGTTGGCTTCAGGGTTGAAGTATATCGAGCCGAAGGCACCACTCAGTGGTACACGGCTGTTATCGTTGGATACAATGAATCCACCAAGGTAAATTTAATTTGCAGGCTACATCTACGTTAACCCCTTGTTACCGAGTATAAGCATTTTCTCTATCAGAAAAAAAAAATACGCGCAAGTGACGTATTCATGAGAATCGGCGTAGTTCTGAATAAATCGGGGTCTGTTTTTTTTTTCTTACTCCACAGCTCCTTTGATTCCCGTAAATCCGAGGTCGGTTAGAAGGCAAAGTATTTTTACGTAATTTCCGTTTTCCCCTTGGCGCGAATACAAAAGTAAAAAAGTTACCGAATAATTTCACCGTAAAGGTCGAAAGTCACGTAAAGCTCGTCCTCGTGATATTTTCCACGTCCTGACGTAGATGGCGACACTGGTGGTTGTTAGTAAAGGCCGAAAAACGAAATGAAAATGAAAAGTGCCAGGTGACCCTTTCCTTGGACCCACCTATATTCCACATCAAATAATTTTCGCCTCGTATTTTTCGTCCATTTCTTTGAAAAACCTTCGATCTCAAACGTACCCTTCTATCCCCAAATTCATTCCCAAACCTTTTCCACCTATACCCAACCCGCTACACGGTCCAGATCTTTCTTCAGCAAGATCGCAGCAGCTTACAGAACTTCCGATGCCCGCAGGCTCAGGCCATTTTAAACTTGAGAGATTTATTCCACTTTTCGCCAAGAACTTTCGACGTCTCTCTTTAACCTTCTTTCTTCTCTAGTTTCAATCCGTCGTCCTTTCTTATTTCTCTTGTACTTTCGTCGCTCTATCTCATCCACCTGTTTCTCATCTTCCGTTTATTCCCTTCCTTTTTTCCTATCTCCTGCC